AATAATTTTTTTATGTAAAGAAGGCTAGTAATTATTTATGAGACGAGGACTTTTAGGGTCTGTTTGGAAAGCCACCTGGTAATTGAAATTGGTGTAATTATTAGGGTAGTAATTATCAGCCTAGTAATTACACTAACATGTTTGGTTGCCACAGTGTAATGACACTGTAATTACACATGTCCTATTTGGATGCCACATTGTAATTACACATGTTCTGTTTGGATGCACAATTGCAATCATAAAATTTTATTAAATTTTAAAAATAAAAATTAATTATTTAAAATTTATACTAGACAAATAAGAAACTTTATAAATGACATTAAATTAAATATTTAAGATATATATATTTTTAAAAAATATATTAATTAATAAACATATTTTCTTTAACTAATATTATGAAAAAATAATTGATTTATATTTTTTCAAATTAATATATTTCAATTGAATTGATCGTAAAAACTAAAAGTATGAAGTTTCTACGAACATCGCTGAAATGCATGTTTGATAAAAATATTAATATATAAATAAAATGTCATAAATTATTAAATGTTTGACAAAAATATAATCTATCAAGTCTAATTAAAAAATGACGTGCAATGTGAATTCAATATTACTAAAACAAATGAAACTGAAAATATAACCTAAGTTATAAATTTAAAACAAAATATTTAACATAATACTCTTATAACAAATTTCAACATAGCATGCATAAATATGATTTTTTTTCTTAATAAAGAAAACGTAAGTCTATAACCTTACTTAACAATAAATTCTATTTTAATTTAAAAATTAGAATACTAATAAAATTATGCTAATAAGAAAATAAGCATGACATAAAGAAATAGATAATACGAAAAAATTGCATAGAATCACGTAAAGTAAGGTTGAGAACAAGAAGAAAAAGAAATATAATAATATAAAATGAAAAATAAACTTTTAAGATTTTTTAGAATAATAAAAATAAAAAAAGAACTTAAAATAATATAAGTAAAAAAAGTTAAAACAAAAAAAATAAAAGCAGAAATAAAAAAATTAAAAAGTAATCAGCTGGTAATTACACCATGTAATTACCAGCAATTCACAGCCTTTGCCTGTGAATTGTAGAGTGTAATTACCCCCAGCAAATTACACCAAATACCTGCTGACCAAGTAATTACATGTCCAACCAAACAGGAAAGACAGTGTAATTACACCCAATTACACCAAATCCAATTACCAGGGTGTCCTTCCAAACAGGCCCTTAGTATTTACTCCCTCTATTCTCAATTACTTGTCTACTTTTGAATTGATATAGTTATTAAGAAAACAATAATTGACATAGTGAGTTTGTCATTTTACCTCTATTGATTATGAAGTAGATGAATTAAAAATTTACGATTTTCAAGAAGTTCTACCTTTTTCAAAATTAATTAATTGAGGTATAATATGTAAAAAAAAAAAATTGTCCTTTCTTGATTTGTCAAAATGAATAAGTAAAAAAAAAAGTAGACAAGTAATTAGGAATAGAGAGAGTATTATTTAAACGGAAAATGGTCAAAAATACCCTTGAACTATCTGAAAAGGTCTAAAATTACCCTTCATCCATCTTTTGGTCTAAATATACCCTTCTACTCATCTTATTGATCTAAAAATACCCTTTCATTCACCTTTTAGCTCACTTATACCCTTGAAACTAACACCCCTATCTTTATTTTGTTTTTAAAAAAAAATATATTTATTATGTGTCATTCTCCTCATTGGATGAAATAAAATTTCCATCTCAACTGGATTTCCCCCCATAATTTATCCAAGCCAAAAAGAATATACTTCTTCAAGACCTCATAATTTTTATTTTTTATTAAAAAAATCTAATAGTTTTTTATATTTGTTGTAGATTTTTTTTATCCGATTCCTCTCAATTTTTTCTCTATTTTCCCCAAGTTATTACTTGGATTGAAGACACATGGCATAAGGAAAAATTAACAGCTAAAATTTAATCAATTACATTAAAATTTTAAATACTATATAAATAATTAATATATCTTAAACAAATTAATAATATTATGATCATAATAATATTATCTTATCCATAATATTTTTTTTCTCTCTTTTCTTATTTTTATTTTTCCTACAGGCTATGACCTACCACATCTATATTTTTTTTCTTCTTTTCAATGAGTTGTTATAAAGATTATTAGTCAAAAAAATTAAATGATCATTTTTTTATAAAATAAAAGATAGACTTTGTTTAGGATTTATGATAATATGATATGTCCCTCTAATTGTGGCATGACTAATATTTTTAAAATATTTTAATTATCTAAAACAATTTTTTTTAAAAAGCTATAGAAAATAGAAATTACTAGATTCAAAAAAAATATTTTTTGGATCTTGAAAAGATATATTGTTTTGATTTGGATAAATTATGGGAAAAAATTAATAGAGGTGGATTTTTATTTCATTCAATAAGAAAATGACACATAATAAGTATTTTTTTTTAAAAAAGAGAGGGTTGTTAGTTGCAAGGGTATAAGTGAGCCAAAAAGGTGGATGGAAGGGTAATTTTAGACCAAAAAGATGAGTAGAAGGGTATTTTTAGACCAAAAGATGGATGAAGGATACTTTTAGACCTTTTCCTATAGTTTAGGAGTATTTTTGGCCCTTTTCCGTTATTTAAATGTTGAATAATAAAGTTTCAACACTTGAATAGAAGATCTAAAAGTAAACTTTAGATAGAAACGCATGGATAACTTACACAAATCTTACTACTTTAGGATACTATAGTTTTGAGGTTCAACAGTTCGGAAAAATCTTTTCTACTTTGCTGGATGCATGCCCCATTTATGGATGATATTATTTTATTAATCTACACTTGTGATATGTGCAACATATATTTGTGTTTGTTAGTCTTTAGGAGGTTTAAACAAGTAAGATCGGACATTATTGAGTATGAAATCATAAAATTTATATGTATATATGCAGAAGTTTTTTGGATTAAATTTGTTGTTGGACTAAGTATTTTCTTAGCTACTTCCTAGGGGTTGGAATGTCAAAATTCGAGTTTAATTTGTATTAGCGGATATACACTATAATTTTTAAAGTAGGTCGAGTTACCAGAGAAGGTTCCTCTGCTGAAAGAAATTATTGAGGTGTGAGTGAAAAAATTGATTTGCTTGGTGTTGGACATATCGTGCTTGTGTTTTGTGAAAAAATAAATGGAAAGTTGATGGAGCTTTCCATCTCCAGCGTATTTTTGATGGTGCTAGTAGCAGCCACACAGTGAAAGAAGAAGAAATTGAAGTGTGGCTTTTGACTGCCACTATAGAGAACATACGTTTGAAAAAGAGATATTGATTAATTAAATCTCTTCTGCTAGCACTGGTCATAACAATAGGTTCTACCAATTGAACCCAAATTTTAACATTTCAACCCTTAGAAAGTAGCTAAAACACACTTTGCAAATTATATCCAAAAAACTCTTGCATATACATAGAAATTTTATGAATCAATACTCACAAATATCCAATCTTGCTTGTTTAAACCTCATAAAGACAAACAAACACAAACATATGTTATCCATACCACGATATGAATTAATAAATAATCTCACCTAAAGAATGAGATATGCACCCAGCCAAGTACAAAAGACTTTTCCAACCGTTTGAACCTCAAAACTATAATTATTTTGATTATCGAAGAGCAAAGATGAATGTCTTCATCACTTTTCAAAATAACACTAACAAATATTTATGGTTCCTCCTTTGGGGAAAACAGTTGATCTCTGAATTCCCTCAATGATTTTTAAATCAATCGTGGCTTACTTATGGTCACAAAGCTAAGATCCTTCCACCACCAGTTCGAGAATGATAAGAATACTTTTGTCAAAAAAAATAATCAAAGAACACCAAATTTCTATGCTCTTTACAATTTTTCCACAAGTTTCATATTCTATGAAAATATACACAAAAATTTGTCTTCCACAAGGCAGATGACATAGAGGATATTCATGATTGTCTCTCCAAGGCTATTGTAAATGATATAAGAGTTGAAATCCATCAGAAGTATGTATGTCGGAAATAGAAAAATGATTCATGTAGAATCCAGGATCTCTAATCCCAACAAATGCCGCTTAAATTTTATTTTTTGCAATAAAACTCAATTGTAACTGCACAACTAGGGCCAACTGAAGCAGTAAAGGAGACTTCCTCCAACAGATGATTTTTTTTCCAACAAATCAAAGCTGAGCTCCCTAGCAATCAATCACAAACATCAAACAAATGTGAATCTGAGAATGAAGAAGGCATAAATTTTAAGCTACCTTAGCATCACAATGACATATAAAAATGATGTCATCCATGACATTAGTAAAGATGGGCTAAAATTATTGTGGGTGATATTGTAACAACACTGTAGCACTTTTACTGTGACATTTTTTTTGGCTATAAATAGTCTCCCTCTCCATTTTGTAAGACATTAGTTGATTTTCTTCCAAGAAACTTTCTCTCTCACACAAGAAAACTTGGTCAGAGTTTGTTCCCTCTTTATAGTCTTTAAAGAATTTAGTCACGCTCCTTGCCACATCCATCTAGATGGTAAAGGCAATCAAATACTCCCTCCGTTTCAAAAAGATTGATCTGGTTTGACTTGGTACAAAGTTTAAGAAATTAAAGAAGACTTTTGAATCTTGTGGTACTAAATTAAAGTTATGTCAAATGTATAAAATTGCCCTTAATCTTGTGATCTTAAACATGCCACGTGGAAAGCAAAAAGTAAATGTTACCAAAAGGGAAGAGGTCATTTTTTGAAACTGACTAAAAAGGAAGGAGGTCATTCTTTGTAAAACGGAGGGAGTAACAAATTTCAAAAAATAATTAAGACAATTGATAAGATATACAACTAATAATTCATGTCAAGTTTAGAGGGATCTCTACCTAATTTTTACACCCTTCAATATGATGCTACTACAAATCGTGTGGCTTATTCTCTTATGTTGGAAATCATTTTTCTCTAATTTCATGAAGAGATACCTTAGAAGAATACTCAGCACAGCTGAAGGAACTTTCGGAGAAAATATTCAATATAATGGGGAAAGCATTAGGAATGAAAGGAGAAGATTTGAGTGAAGTTTTTGATGGAGGAGAGCAAGCAATGGCCATGTATTACTATCCTAAGTGTCCTCAAGAAGATGTTGTTATGGGGCTAAACCCCCACACTGATCTTGCTGGCTTGACCATACTTTCTCAACTAAATGAAGTGGAAGGTCTTCATATCAAGAAAGATGGTGCTTGGATACCTATTACACCTTTGCCAAATGCCTTTGTTATCAACGTTGGAGACATGTTAGAGGTAATCCACAAGTCATTTCTTCAAATTTTGAGCTTCACTTATATATATTTAACTTAGAGAAAAAGCCCAAAATAGTCTCTTATCTTTGGGTTAATTAAGAGTCAAAGTCATCCTTGAGTTTTCATATGAAGCAATAATAGTTCCTGATGTTTGCAATATTGGCACAGTTTTTGTCCTTCACCAAACTTTAGCCTACTTTTTAACATTGATTTTGTCCACAATTTTATGTATGAAATGTTTAATCGTCTTTTTATATATTTACTAGAAATAATAACTCTATGTGAGAGAAGGTGAGAAGAAAAACACCCTGTTTAACACCATATTGTCACTACAATGTACATTACCACCACTTTGATTTATCTTAATGAGATTTTCCCCATATTGCCACTACTAGGAACATTAACACCACTTTGATTTATCTTATCCAATCTATTTGAAATGAAAAGAAAAATAGCTTTCTTAATGGCATTATGACACCTTATCAATATCTTTCTTCCACATTCCCTGAACGAGTAGTGAAGAAGTATAGAACACTTTTACTTGATAACCTAACATTCACTTTTTTTTGAAATTATATTTATGCCAAGTACACTAATTCGTCAGTGTTGTTGTACAGATAGTGACGAATGAAATTTATAAAGGTGTTGAACATCGACCAGTTCTCAATCCAAACAAGGAGAGACTATCAATTGCAACATTTTTTAAACCAAAAAGGAACTATTATTTAAGTCCAGCATCAAGCCTCATCACTCTTCGAAATCCTGTAAAATTCAAGCAAATTGGTACTGTTGCTGATTACTTCAAGGGATATTTCAGTCATCAACTTGTTGGAAAATCATACCTTGATACAATGAGATTAAATACCAAGGACGAAGAGATCAATACGTGATTAATGTATTAACACTTTGAATAATTGCATGATTTTAATTCATTGATACTAGATTTGTTCCGAAAACCTTAAGCGTGTTTGTATGCAAATAAAATTGCTGGTAAAGGTTGTAATATTCCAATATTACTCTAATAAATCTTCAATTTGTGTGTTTTGACTGTTTTACCCCTCTCCGTAGTTTGATTTGGGTATTTTTGGTCTGGGGAATTGGTTGCATGGTTCCCGAGGCATTTGGACAGGAGTTATGAGAGTTTTTCATTTTGGTAGTAGGAAAGGTTGACTTATGTCAATATTTGATGAAGATGAGCTCGAAATGGAATTCTGACCATTTCATTGGCTCTAGAATGTGATTTTTGGGTTGGTTGGACCTTTGGTTTGGATTTCAAGGATGAGATTTGAGTCGTTGGACGGAAATTTGAAAATTTCTAAGTTAAGAGTTGACTTCGATCAACATCTAGTGATAAAATTTCAAATGGCTGGGATTTGGCAATTGCCATACTTTTAACTCTAACATATGACAATGAAAATAGATTCTCAAAACAATAATTAATATTTCTTCTAATGTTGACTCCTATTTATCAATGCAACAGATCAAACATTGACATAAACTGAATTTACAAATGTTTGTACTGCTGCTGTTTTTATTTCATGCTTCTTTTTCTGCCATACACGCAACAAACGTATTGTGTTACCGAGTAGAAGTAGTGCCATTAAGCCACACCATACTGTTATTCCTATTTCAATGATCTGACCAAGTGGTTCCCTGTCCTTCCTTGGCGTGATGATGTAAATTGCTATGCCATAAGTGAGTGCTATTGAGGTAACTGTCGACCACATTATAACCATTAAACCCCACATGAAAAGCCTACGCCTGAAAGGCAATCCACTTATCAGCAGCAAGATTGTGCTGAGAGAAGAGACAAAGGCAATGGTGTTGACACGAAGGAAATATCGAAATGGTTTTGCATGATTATAAGCCATTACTGATTCCCCTGCTTTATGTAAGGGTCTTCCCCAATCCTCCAATTTTCCATTTTCTTGCCAAACACCTCCTGGAGGGTTCACTCCAACTTGGAATGCCATGGTTGCAATGAGTGAGGCCACCACCATTATTGTTTCGCGTTTCTTGGAAAGCCAATCGCCTTTTGATGGCGCCTGATTTCCTCCTAAATATACTGGTGCTGAAGATACTGGAGAATGGTTATTTCCACCAGAGTCATTAGGAATTTTGGTACTATGTTGAATGATGGACATTGAAATATCCTTTGCTCTTAAACCTCCAGCTTCTCGAAGACACTCACCGATGGATAGATCATTCACGTCCCTACGACTCTGTACTAAAATATCTAATGATGTATTCCCATTTGCATCCATTTCATTCACATCAATTTGATGCGTCTTCAGCAAGTACTTCACAGTCTGCAAGAATGATTAGTAAATGGTTTAATAACGACACTGCTTATAAGAAAATGAAGTCGAATTTCTTTTCTAAGGAACAAAGTCATACCTCAATTTGCTTATCAGCAACAGCCAAATGCAGAATGTTGTGTCCATTACCATCCTTCGCATTCAACAACTCCTGGTCCCATTCAATCTCCTTTAGCACCTTCAGAACCTCAAGCTGATTATGCTTCACACACAAATGCAAAACGTTTTCTCCATTGATCATAGTTCCTAGAGCTGCACGAGGCCTGACATGTATAAGTTCTTTGATGACTTCAACCCGACCTTTGATAGCTGCAAGATGGAGAGGATTTCCACCATCACGATCACAAACCAGGCACAATTCAGGATTTACCAACAACAACATCTTGACGATATGCAAGTGACCTTTGGCTGAAGCTATGTGAAGAGCAGATGACTTTCGCCAATCCAATTCAGCAGCAAGCTGAGGATTTTGAGCCAGAATTAACCTCACAAACTCGATATGACCACGCAGTGCTGCTATGTGCAAAGGTGTTTCATTGAAGCAAGTTAAGGTAAGTCTATCAAGAATTAAAGCATCTTGTTGAAGTAATTCTTGTAAAACTCTAACATCTCCTTTAACTGCAGCTTCATAGAGTCTCTTCTCAGTATCCATTTTCCTCTATTAGATACTTTTTTTTACAAACAGAATTGGTTAATTTTGTAGTTGCTGATATTTTTTGATACTTATTGGATATAGTCACAGTTGGAAAAGTCTTCCTTCAAATTTTAGACTTGTTTAAATGATATACTATTCAAGATGCTTTGAACTAATCCTTATCTTAATTTTTATGGACAGAGAAATAATTAGAAGAGGAAAAAAAAAAAGAGAAGCAATAAATGTAACAACTATAGATTTGACTGAAAATGTCCTTTTCTATTAGTACAACATTTCCGCGAAACAACAGGGGCGAAGAGACAATTATTGCTCCAAAATACCTAGAATTTTCACGGATGGTGACTTAACCCTGAAATTTTTCACTCAACTATACGTTTTTTCTCAAGTCACTTAACTTTGATGTTTAACCCAAAAATCGCTTTCATAGTTGAATGATTTTGGGTTAAAATCAAAGTTAGAATGACTTTCTAGAGAAAAATTCATAACTGGGTGACTTTTGAGTTAAAAATCAAAGTTGAGTGACGTTCTGATAGAAAAATTCATAGTTAAATGATCATTTGTGATATTACACCTTATTTTGTTTTGAATTTTCTTTTGCGTGATAAATCAATATTAAAAATGAAATTTGACTTGATCCAATTAAAATATGTGCAAGTCAAGATCCAAGTTCAAAATGAAGTGTGAATACACGGTTCACTCTTGACTAATGACAACAAAGGAAGAGAGATATAGAGGGAGTGTGTTTTATCTAGGGACGTTTGATACAAAGATTAATAATGTAGGGATTTGTAATGTAGGAATTAGTAGTGCAGGGATTAATAGTGCAGGGATTAATAATGTAGGGTTTATTTTTATCAAGTGTTTGGTTCATTGTTTCCAACTTCATCTTGTGTTTGGATTAAAACTCTATAAAAAAAACTTATTTCCAATTATACCTTTGTATTGTTATATAATTGTGTCAAGGTAGATAATTGCCGGACAATGTTATTTTTTTATGACCTTCTAACTAGCTAGGTGAAGAACAATTTTGTTGTCATGATTGTTATTTTTTCACTTGAATTATTTGAGGATAAATAATTGTCATTTTAATAAATTTAGCACTCACAAAATGACATTTTTCAATTTAAAAAAAGATAAATCATCTACTTTTAAAATTGATAAGACGGTAAACAATACTTAGTAAAATTGAGTAAACCATCTAATACATTTACACATAAAAATTGCAAGTTATAGTTTTAATGTGTATGCAATTTTATAAATTGTTCAAAATACAAATAATTAGAAAATCACACACACATATATATATATTATACATTCAATTAAGAAACATCATGTGGTGATATATTTGCCTTTTTAATTAGGAAAAATGCATAAGTACCCCCCAATCTATGCCCGAAATCTCAGAGACACACTCATACTATACTAAGGTCATATTACCCCTCTCCCCCCGAACTTATTTTATAAATAATTTTCTACCCTTTTTCGGCCTACGTGGCACTATCTTCTGGGTCCAGCGCGTGTTGACAATTTTTTCAAACTATCTGGTTGATAGTGCCACGTAGGCCGAAAAAGGATAGAAAATTATTTATAAAATAAGTTCGGGGGGAGGGGGGAGGGTAATAGGACCTTAGTATAGTATCAGTGTGTCTCTGGGATTTCAGGCATAGGTTGGGAGAGGCGGGGGTGGGGGTGGGATACTTATGCATTTTCCCTTTTAATTAGTAAATGTTAAATTCACATTTAAAAAATTGTATTGAATTTATTTAGTAACAAACAACTCTCTCTAATAATTTATATGCTAATTTATTTAAATTAATTTACTAATACAAATATAAAACATAAAATCAAGAAAATAAAAAAATGATTAAAATGATTTGAGGGATATTTTTGTCTTTACATAGATCTATCCCATGGTATTAAATCATATGTATTACTAATACCTCCAAATAGAAGGGATCAGTAATACATCCTCTAATACCGTATAGGGTGTATACCTAATCCATGGATTAGTTATACACAAGCCCAAATTCTTACCAAACATAGTACCATATAATACCATACATAATACATGGACTATTTCTCCTAATACTTCCTACCAAACGACCCCTAAAAGTATTATTATTAGTATTAGTATTATCATTATTGAAGCAGAAAATGATCATAAATTCTAATTTTTTATGGGTTTAGAACATTCAACACGATATTAAACCAATTTGACAAGATAAAGTTTTTTGTACAATCTTTTATTTATTAGAAAGAAGTACACATTCTATACGATATTGTCATCTTTCCCTCTTTTAGATTTTGCCTAGTAAAACCTTATTGTCATCTTTTTCGTTAAAACTTCTTTTTTTCTACTTTAATAAATTACTTTATTATGTGTTTAAATTTTGAGTTATTGGATATGATGTAGAATTGGATATCATAATTCTATACCATAAGTGGCAAGCCCCATGTTGAGAATTAAAATACGAAAAATACCCCTTAAAAGTTGAATGACCATTTTATTATTGACAAAAAGAAAAAAATTATGTTCTTATCATATGAGAAATTTTAATTATGTTTTAGTTGTTTATTTTACCAGTTTGAGCGATTATTTTTGTTGATGCTTTTCAATAATTTGTAGGTGATATGAAGGTATGCCAATACCCAATATAGTTTAATAATTCAACAGACGGAAGAATCATAGAAAGGTAGTTAGCACTGCATTAACAATTGCAATATTGTCATTATTTGCAAATAGCTCAAGCAAAAAAAAGTTTTCTTTCCAATTGAGTGTTAGATAGAGGCGACCACATAACATAGTGAGAATGCACATGCACTCGATAATTTTTTAATTTTTTAAATATATATATATCGAGAGAGATGGTCTAAGAAATGATGATATATTTAATTGTGTATTCTCATCATTAAAACTCATCTTAATACACTGGTTAAAGCCATGACTTTATCTGATCACAACATTGCATGTTTAAGCCCAGAAACATAGCGGTGCTTAGGGCTGTTCATGGTTATGGTTAAAATATCAAATCAAACCGCAATTCGAACCAAACCGATTAAAAAAATCGATATTTGGTTAGGTTTGATTTTTAAAATTTTGAAAGCCAACACTATTTGATTTTATTTTGGTTTTACTATAACTAAACTGAACCGAGAAATTAGTTATATAAATTTTATTATTTATTTATAAATAAAATATAAATATTTTGTTAAATTTTAACTAACTTAAGTCTTTAACTTTATTATTTTCTCAAACCCAATACTTAAATTTTAGCCAAACTATTACACCCCTAAATCCAAGTCTATCAAAATTCATTACTTTAGTGTTTACCTACCCTACCTCACATAAGATAGTCACATTTTCTCTTAATTGCATTATTTTGTTCGTATAATAATAACTCTAGTATTGCTTAATTGACTCATCAGTAGCTTTCCTGTGGATTGTTTATGTACTAGGTGTCTGTGTCGTCCTAAAAATATTATTACTTTCAAATTGAAAAATAAAAAAAATCGAACTAAACTGAACCAATCT